AACCCCTAAACCCCTAAATTCCCTAAATTACTAACTGGGCCTCTTAGAGAACTTTCAGGCAGCTGAAGCTGGTTGTGCATGGGGACACGATCCTGGAGGAGGCTGGTAAGACGGGTGAGGTTTTAGGGGGTTCGGGGTCAGGAGTTTAGGGGCTATAGGGTTTCAAGGGAGGGCAGTTTTTTTTGTTGGCCTTGAGTGGCCTTCAACCGCGAACATTTTTACATACAGGTAGCAGGTTTTTTTTCCCCGCTCGGGGCTTATTCAGGGGTTGAGGTTTGAAATTTTCGGGTCCGCGGTTTTGGATGTAAATGTAGGGCTTGTGGTGTAGCATAGGGTACCCCCCATGTCAAAACCCACCTGCCGAACTCACGGGGCTTTGCAAAGTGCTTAGGTCCTTAGCCCTAAACCATCCGAAACCGTCAAAACCCTAAACCCAAGAACCTACACCCTAACCCTAAAGCCCTATAATCCCCAAACCCTAAACCCACACAACCCTACACAACTCTAAAGCCCTATTCCCCAAACCCTACAGCCCAAAATCTCCAAACCCTACAGCCCTAAACCTCCAAACCCTCAAACTCCAACACCCTAAACCCAAAGCCCCTGAGCCTCTGAACCGGAAAGATTGCCCCTAAACCCTGAATCCTAAACCCTAAATCCCTCAGGATTTTGAGGACTCCTAAACCCTAAAGACCCTAAACTCCCCACCTGTAGTTTCCTTTAAGAGGCCCTAAACCCCCAGGATTTTGAAGACTCGAAGTGGCTGAATGTCAGCGAATCCTATTGGGAGATCGCAGCTTGGCATGCTGGGCAGAATAGGGGTTTTAGGATATTTCAGCGTTATAAGGGTTCAGGGTTTAGGGGTTTAGGGTTTAGGGTTTTAGGCTTTCAGGGTTTAGGATATTTCAGGGTTCGGAGTTTAGGGTTTAGGGTTTAGGGTTTTGGGTTTAGGGTGTAGGGTTTCAGGGTTTGGGGTTCAGGGCTTTAGGGTTTTAGGGTTTAGGGTTTCAGAGTTTAGGGTTGACTCTAAACTTCCAGAACCTTTTTTTTGGCAGGCGCTTATCATAAACCAGTCATTAACCCCTACTTTTTTGTAGGTTCTTATCATAAACCCTAATATAGAATTTATCATAAACCCTAATATAGAATTAACTTTTAAAAACCCGACAAGAAAGTTCAGAGTTTTGCTAGTTCCACGTTTAGGGTTAACCCTGAAGCCCTTGCAGGAAGCCTCACAGGAACGTTCATAACAAAAGATTAGGGAATTGGGTTTAAAGTTTAGGGACCCGTATCAGGAGCCTGCATAACGCGCGTATAGGAAACCCGAAAGCGTACCTTGTCAGAACCCTTACAGGAACCTATAGGAACTTGTCTAAGAGCCGCTAAAGGAACCCTTCGAACTGGCCTTAGTCCTAGTAGAGTGTCATTGGAGAACCCGAGCCGTAGATCGAGGTTAGTTGGGGTCGAGGTCTCGCTATGCCCTAAAGTCCTAAAGCCTTCGCTGGACAGAGAGGGCAGCAATTAAATGAAGCAGTTTGGCTTAATGAGCACTTATCCCTAAATGGTCACCCCCCTTGATCAGGCATCCCTAGTTCCTGAAACCCCAAAAATCTGTAAAGGCACATGCGCACTCGGACCCTGCTTGGCTCAGAAACCCAACATCTCATCGCTCGCAGCCAACGGAGACTTTCTAAGTTTGCATACCTCTTCTTCTGTTGCTTGTTGTTGGGTCGTTCGGGTCCTGCTCCTTTCTGTTTCAGAATGTCTGCAAAGCACAGTCTCGTTCTGCACTGAGTAGCATGTACAGTTTAGTCAGGGCCCCACAGCCGTCAATGCGAACCACTAAATCCTGAGCCCCTCACCCTGAACCCTAAGCACCTTAGCTCCTGAATCCCGGAGCCTACGCCAGGAAACCACAGCTCTGAAAATCCAAGCCCATGAACGTGAGCCATTGCGCATCAAGCCCTGTACCCTACACGCTAAACTTTAAACCCTAACACCAGCGTGATTTAGGGTTCGTTTGGGGCTTCAGAGTTTCGAGCGACCGTGTCAGTAGTCTCGGAGCAGCAGTAGGAGAGACTCTAAACCCTAAATTAAACCCTTTACAACTCTAGACTACAACTCGAGACTACAACTCGAGACTCTACCTTAGACCTTAAGTTGTCATCCACCCAGGAGGTGAAGGAGGTGAAGAAAGTCCGACGAAAGGTTTTGAGGCCGGTAATTCTAACTTCGCAGTAAGGTTTGCGGACCCTCATGTAGGGTTTAGGGTTTAGGATTTAGGGTTTAGGGTTTGGGGTTTAGGGTTTAGCGTTTACAATGTAGGGGAAAAAAGTTACCAATACTAAATTTGGGGGATTCCGCATTCTAACTATAGTGTAATCTACCCCCAAACCACTAGTCTAAATATTTAAGGCCCCTACAGTACACTTCGAAGGGCCCCCAAGGGTGGGATGAAGTTGGGTGATCCCCAACCAAGAGCCCTCACATAAGGGATCCTTAGGGTTTGGGGTTTAGGTTGGATACTGCCCCCACTCAGCAACAGTTGAGTAACATGCATAATATGGATATTTCAGGCCCTGAATAGTACGCCTATTATACCCTGTTACTGTACATGGGCAGTGCCCATGGTTTTGGGTTAATCCTGTCTATTTTCATTAATCCCACCTTTTGCGGCCCCTTCGTAGAACCCCTATCAGCCGTAAACCCGAAGCCTTTGTGACCCTTAATGAACCCTCATATAACCTTTATCACATCCTCATGGATCCCTGTTTCATCTGCCAAATCTCCCTCGAGAATCCGCAGATCTTAAACCCTAAACCCCAAAGGAGATCGGGTGTAGGGTTTAGAGTTTAGGGGGATTTAGGGTTTAGCGCTTATTCTTCACCACTACAGCCCTTTGGTGTCGACAGCCTCGAACTTGATAATATGTTGACAGGATGGTGCTAAAAGCCGAAAGATCTAAGGAGGCAAAGCCAAAAAACTCCTATAGTTTCCACAGTCCAGCTGCAAACTCGTTTAAGCACTTCTGTCCAGAGGAACTTTTCAAGCAACCCGTTCGATTTTAACACCTTCCAGCAGGTCGTTCATCGGATACCAATGCCTCAACCTCCATAATTCGAGCCCTACAAAGCAAGTCTAAACGCCCTCGATCCTCTAACCGCAAAGCCCTCAAGCCCTATACCGGCAAATCCTAAGTCTGAAACCCTACAAGAACAAGAAACTGCACAAACGTACTCGCTGCGGAGCTCAGAGTTTCTCTTGAACACTCGGTGGGATAGCGGGTCGGAATCAGGTTCCAGTCTTGGGAGTCCGTATAATGGCCATACTCTCTTTAGCATACACGACGAGGCCCCAAAAGCTGTAGAACTTGTCGTGTGGTCGTTGATTCGGTTTAAGAAGCTTGGTCTCAGTCAACCTAAACCCTAAACCCTAAGCCCTTATCTGGTCTTCTGGGTGCTTGAGAGATCTAGACTTAAGAGTTGTACCCCAGCTGATATCCAGAAGATCTATGGGACCTTAGGTGGCATCATCTTCGAGTTGTGTTGTTTCCACTAGGTGTTCGGAATTTAGGCCACTCGGGCTGAGGAAGCTGGGTCTGTTTGTGCTTCGAGGTTTAGAACTTACCGCCAGCTGAAGCCCTAGCCCTACACCCTGCAGCATGCCAGGTACGTTCTTTACATCCTCATGGAGTGCACGGTTCTGAGAGCGCGCTCACTTCTTCTTGTTCTGCTTCTCCTCCTGGACCTGTGGCTTTAGGGGTTGAGGGCTCCCCGACGAGTTATGTTGCTTCCTTCGTGCCCTACTACCATAATCCATTGAAGCCTGACTTTGTCCATCTCTGCCGCAGCAGACGAACTTGCTTGCCTCCATAGCAAGATGCTAAAGTTTCTTGGTTCCGTCATGTTCTACTAGATGATACACTTGAGTGCCATAGGTCAGTATATGAAGTCGGAAGTACATCTTGCAGCCATGTTCTGGAGTTTGTCAACTCACCTCCAGAAAGAATGCTAGTTCTTCAGGAAACCTTTCCAGATCAGTAACCCCAATCGCCACACACAAATAGACCATGGAGGTGTAGCCTGTAGGGTCTAGATGGGGTTTAGGGTTAGTTATGATTATTCTTCTTATCATGATTATTATGATCATGAATATCAGGGCTTAGGGCAAGTACCCCGACTACAAGGATCGCTACGAAGCTAACCCCCTCCATTTTGGAGGCTCCGAGCAGCACTCAACCCTAAACAAACAATGCAATCAAGCCCTATAATAACCTTGAACCCTCAACAACCGACCTAAACCCCTGCCCAAGGTCCCAAGTACATCACCCAATATCTCTTCGAGTCCGAGAAAACGGAG